CTATGACACAGAATAATTGAGTTCTAGTTCCAAACTCCTATATATAGTTCATTCAGCAAACAAAAAGCTATGTAATTACCCTGATACCATCAGGGAGAAGAATTTTAGCAGTGATTTACTGTTGTTATTCTAGATAGCTGTAGGTCTCTCTCCCCTGTCCCCCATCCACCTAAGTTGGTTCTGAAAATATTTCTTCTAATAACACACAGTCCTCTCCCTGAGAATTCTGGTGAGTGAATACCCTTCAACTTGCCATACTTCCAGAGATATTTTAGCACCATTAAGAGACTGGTACCTCTAAGCCATCCGGCTCCATCCTGATGTTTCTAATATAGCACACTGGCGCTGTACCCAGAGAATAAGAACACTTCTGAAGAGCTAGTTTTGAGAAGGAAATAATGAGTATAATGAGTCCATGTAAAATTTGAATCGCCAGTAAGTCATCCATGTGAATTGTTCAGAGCAGGAAGACCACATCCTATGTCCTAAAGAGGGACTGGTTTTTTTTTTTTATGTATTTATGTATGTATGCATATATTTTTATTAAATTTTTTAAAAGATTTATTTATTTATTTATTTATTTATTTATTTATTTATTTATTTATTTATTTATTTTAGCGCGAGAGCGTGCACATGCATGCACATGGGAGTAGGGGTGGGGCAGAGGGGGAGAGAGGATCTTGAGCAGACTCCCCGCTGAAGGAGGAGCCCCACACGGGGCTTGATCCCACAACCCTGAGATCATGACCTGAGCCGAAATCAAGAGTCTGACGCCCAACTGACTGAGCCACCCACGTGCCCCTGAAGAGGATTGTCAAAGTGGATTTATGGCAAGTCCTGCGGGACGTGCTGGATCTGGATACATGCACACAGAGCTCTGTCCCGAGCTGGAGGACTCTCATTGACGCAGGCACTGGCAGACTTCAGGCAGTCAGGGGGATGTTTCAGGTCTGTATGTGATCTAGCTGGTGACTTGGGTGTAATCTCAATACTACTTTTTCTAAAGCTTTTCAGTGACTTTCCATAGAATCCCTGGTTTTTAGCAATCTCATAATTTAGTAGAGTTCTCTATAGCAAATACAGTCCATTTTTAAGTCTGTGAAAACTGCTGCAACCAGCAACATCGGCTGGTGCCTGCTTCTCAGTTAGCCTGTAAATAACTACTCTTTCTGGTTTATAGCAAAAAACCTGACTGGTGAAATGCATTGGCACTGTGTTTCATAGCTAAGGGAATTTTAAAAATCTGTAATGAGCATCAATTGCTGGGAAAAAAAGAATGATTTTTACCTACTTCTTTTACTTCAATCTTAATCTTTCCCAACTGCCCTCTAGGGCAAAAGAGCTCTCTTTGGTACCTCAGTTCAGACAAACACGTGTAAAGAAACATACACATTAGATTATAAAAGGGTGGTTTCTTAAATGGTTTTAAGCTATAAATAATCCTTAAAAATGACTTTCTCAATTCAAAATGCAGACATTGCACTGTATTTATAATGACAAAAAAAATGGAAACAACCTAAATGTCCAAAACCAGAGAAAAGTTTAAGAAAAATATGATATGTTCATACTACGTCATGCTATGCAATCATTAAGCATGATTTTATAGAGTTTTAAATAGTAAGAGAATATTCCTATTAAATAAAAGTCGGCTTGATGCAAATTGTTACACAGTAGGTCACAAGTAGCTATGTATGTATTGTAAAGAGACTGTCTGGTATGTGCTGAAATGTTTGTAGTGTTTTCTCTGGTTGATGAGAGCAGGGGTGATTTTTTTTTTTATTTCCTTTTCTAATATCATACATATGCTACTTTTTTTTTTAAAAGATTTTACTTATTTGATAGAGATAGACACAGCGAGAGAGGGAACACAAGCAGGGCGAGTGGGAGAGGAAGAAGCAGGCTTCCTGCTGAGCAGGGAGTCCGATGTGGGGCTCGATCCAAGGACCCCGATATCATGACCTGAGCGGAAGGCAGCCGCTTAACGACTGAGCCACCTAGGCGCCCCATACATATGCTACTTTTATAATAAGGAAAAAATAAACAACCCAAAGGTGTCTTTTCTACAATACTGAGGGGATTTTCCTTATGCTAAAGAAACATATCCCAGCTTTTACACTTGTGGTGCAGACAAATGTGAAGGGGAATAAATGATTTGCTCAAATATATTGATACTGTTAGAAAATGCTTATCTAATCTAATGCAAATACAGAACCAAAGGAAATGCATAAACATTGACTATTATAAGGATAAGCATATATACAATTCTTCCTCCTGAATTTTTAAGCACAGCTTATATAAAGTTGGCTCCTTGGAATACAACATAAGGGAGACACAGGGGTCCCTGTCGTTTCCAAGATTAGCAAGGATTATCATCACCAATATGTCAGACACCCTCTCCTTCAAAAAAAAAGAAAGAAAAAAGAGAGAAAGAAAGAAGAAAGAAAGAAAGAAAGAAAGAAAGAAAGAAAGAAAGAAAGAAAGAAAGAAAGTCTGTAGCAGTTTTTAGAAGTGCTTAAGGAAGAGTATCTCCAGCCCATATAGTAGAGACTAAGAGTTAAGAGCTATTACAATAATCAAAGAATACTAAGGTAACTAGAAATTAAGATACGGTCTTGAAATCTTCCCTTAGAAAACATATTTTCATGAAATTCAACTGGATAAAGCTATTCTCCTCCATCACCACTAATTGTGTAGTAGAATGAAAAAGCTAAAAAAGTGACATGCAGGTATTTCTTCTATACAGTGAAAAACTGTATCTCTAATTCCAATACAGAATCATCAGGTAAATACTTATCAGTAAATAATGTATTATAGTTCATAAAAAGGAATTACCTCTACTGAGTGAAGTTTAAGGGCAATATCCCATTGTATTACTTACACTGTAAAAACAATCTGTGTGTAAATTTTTCTCACAAAAAATACCTTTAAGACATAACTAAGATTATTAGTTAAAGGCATAAAAAGCCAAAAGAACAACCTGGACATGCCAGTAAATAGTTAAGAAGAAGTTCCAAAAAATTGTGGACTGACATTCTCATAAAATATTTGAGTAAAGGTTTATGCAGATGTTTCATTAAAAACCAACCAACCAACCAACCCTCCACGGCCACTTGGGTGACTCAGCTGGTTAAGCATCTGACTCTTGATTTCCGCTCCTGTCAAGATTTTAGGGTTGCGAGATGGATGTGAGAAGGAGCCCCCGCATCAGACTCCACCCTGGGCCTGGAGCCTGCTTGAAATTCTCTCTCCCTCTACCTCTGACCTTCGGATATCCGCCCCCTCTCCAAAACAAACAAACAAACAAACAAACAAACAGAAAACAACTCCACAAAACCATTTAATGGTTATCAAATCCAAAATAACAAAAGCAAACGCATTAGAATGGGTTCAAACACTTATTTGAGTGCTATAATGATTTATTTAAAAAGAAACTGACCACAGACTAAAATCTTAAATAGCTTTATGAAAATGTTATATTTTCTAATGATGGGGATGAAAATCTTATCAATGGTTTTCTAAAATGTACGGTAGGAAGGGTATATCAAACTTTGAGACTATCATATTAACTTGTAAAACTTTATTAAGGACCTAGTAAGATCTTCAGTAGATCTACTTTTTAATTTTGCAATATTATGAACATGACAATTAAAAACACATAGACCCAATTTTTACATGGACGTAAAACTATAATTGTTGATAATGAGCAGCTTTATGCTAGTAGCATCTTGGAATTATCTTGATTTTTGTGACATCAGTTTCTACTGACATAATTATAAGGCCAATAAAAAAAAAAACCTAATGGGTTTCTCTATTTTGGTTTAGGGTTTGATTGGAAAATTTCAGGAAAACATTCATGAGTTGCTACTTTCTCTTTATCTCCAACACTCTGCTTTCCCTGCCCCCTTAGTCCACATTCACTGACTCAGAGACTATTTGGAGAGGACACCTGTTTTAAATGGATCCACAGGAAATACCTATGCTGTCTTTTCATACTCTGACCCTGCATCTGGTTGGCTGAAATGTGATCATGATTTAAAAAAAAAAAAAAATGCTGCCCACAGACTGAGGCAACTTCACTGTGACAACATTTACTGGAAGGCAGAGGGAATCCAGTTTATTTTCCTTCCATTAAGCTCTGGTATTGTACGGTAGGAAAAAATAAGTAAAAGGGCAATGTCAGTTTAACCCTCAAAAGATTAGTATTAAGTTACATGCCGGGGTTTGCTTCCAAACTCAGAACGATTTGTTTTGAAGCTGAACGCTCTCTTGAAGCAGAAACAGTTATGTGACACCCCTCTCTCTATAACCTTTTATTTATAAACCTCTTGTCCGAAGTTCATGGTCTGTCCTGTTGTATTACATACTGACATGCTATTTATCAATCTCCTGTGGAGGAGGAGCACGGGGCAGTCCATCCGCTGGAATAGAATTTACAAGGTAATTTCACAGCGATTAATAGTCTATCAGTAAAAATCCAGTGGCGTTCAAAACAGACACTCGGGAGCCCCCGGCGCGCGGGTTTACACCCCACGTGCAGGCTCCCACCGGTCCCTCCGCACGGAGCACCCGCCCTGGCCGGCAGGAACCACCTCCGCCGCAATCCCCCCGCCTGCGACGTTTGTCCCCACTAGGGTCCCCTCCGTCAGGGCAGGTTTCCCGCCCTCCCGCCGGCCCGCGCTCCCTCTCTGCCCTGCAGATGCCACCCGCCGCGGCTCCGCAGCGCGGCGCGCGCTTCGCCGGCAGGGCTCGCACTCGGAGGCCGCCTATCCACCCACAGGACGCCTAGGGGGCGCCCCGGCCGGGTCTCCCGGGGCCCCGCGAACGCAGGAGCAGAATGACGGAGATGACGAAAGAGCTGACGCCACGCCGCCCGGCCGCGGCCGCCGCTAGGGCCCGCCGACGCCGCCCCCGCCCCCGCCCGCGCAGGTCGCCGGGCGCTCGCGGTCGCCGGTTCCGCGGGGCGCGCCCGCCGCAGCCCCCGCCCCGCCCCGCCCCGCCCCGCCCCGCCCCGCGGCCGGCCAGGGTTCTCCCGGCGCCCGCCCCCGCGCGCCCTGCGCCTCCAGCCCTCGCTCCCCGCCCTCCAGGCTGCCAGGCCCTTCGCGAACATGGCGCTTGTCCCGTGCCAGGTGCTGCGGGTGGCGATCCTGCTGTCCTACTGCTCTATCCTGTGTAACTACAAGGCCATCGAAATGCCCTCGCATCAGACCTACGGCGGGAGCTGGAAATTCCTGACGTTCATTGATCTGGTAAGGCCTTCCGCTCCCCTCCCCCGTCCGCCCTGCACCCCGAGTCGGTGTGTGTGGGTGGGTGGGTGCGCGGGCACCTGCGCGCGCCTCCATCCTCCACGGGTGTCCTCGCCTCTTCCTCGGTGATTGCGTCTAAAGGCCTGGCTGCCTCCGTGGCCGCACCTCCGAACCACCCGTTACAGGGTAGGTGGGGCACGAATGGAGGTGGGCACAGCCAGGTGGTGGGCTATTTGGAGGGGAACACAGACCTGCTTCTAAGAGGTGACGCGGAAAGAGTCTCAACTTAACAAATGGATCAGACGACCTTGATCGTGAGTGGCCTCAGACCCGTGCGCCCTCAGCACGCTTTCCAGAGCACCCATCGTGGGATCGAGTTGCAGCAACTGAAGGAAACTGGGTATTGTCGAATTACTTGGAGCTTCTTCTGAAAGGACCAAAATCCTCATAAAGAAGAGAAAGCACCTAATAAAGTTGTCTTCTTTGCATCTGTTTTCTTGCCCATTGTCAGTAATTTACTTCTAACCTTTCTCCCAGAAATATTAGGGGAGAGGTTTTCAAAATACATTACCAGTATGTCTTGTATTACACTCCTTCTATTTCCACCTAAGAGTTTTCAGTAGTTTGCATAAGCAGCTCTGCTGGCACAACAGGATAGCCTTGGCAGTTGCAGTTGTTTTTGGTTTTTTTTAAAAAAGCTTATCTACTTCTGGCACTAAAAAAAGGCCAGAGCATCAACATATGAGCATAAGGCCCAATGATGACATGGAGTGAAATCTAGGAGCTTAAGGGGGAAAGGTGACGAATTTAGACTGGGTGAAACACACACTCAACAATGACCAAGTATGGGTGGAGGGTTAGAACCAAATCAAGGAGTTCCAAGGACTAGAGAAAATGGAGAAGCAAATCCTGGGACACCAGAACTACCCATCCAAGATTATACACAAGGTTGGCTGGCCGCATAAGCAAGATTATAATCTCTAATTGTTGACCCTCCGTTTTGATGACGAGAACATATTTCCAAAGGCTTAGGATCCCTCAAAGAAATGTAGTCAGAGGGCTTTTTGTTTCGAAACACCGCTTTGTATTTGTTTCATGTTAGATACTTTCAAAGAAGAATTTAAGTGCTTTTTCGCAGCCGTTTCCAAACTATGTACATGCCTTTGGGCTCCCAGACTTCCCAGGGCATAGAGGGTTTCAAGGGTTTCAATGTTCAGATCCTCAACTTCCATCTCTTTCTTGAAACCGATCGCCTCTGAGCATGGATGATGCCTGCCAGTTCTCTTTCCTTCTTCCTCATTCATCCAAGCGATGAGCACATGACAAGGCTCTGTGCTTTATTTATCTGTTCCTTTTAGCATTCAGAATACAGATTGTCATCAAGACTATCTTCACATTTGACTGAAAAAACGAAGTCAGACTTGTTTTGACAGAAAGTCTTATTGGGTTGATTGGCTTGGCAATGAGAATGGGCTCTGCCAATTAAATTATGTGATAGAGCAGACATTTTCCATAGATTGAATGAGTGAAATCTGCAGCCCTGAGGTTCTGATAAATATGTATTAGAGCATTCGAAATCATGTTCCTTTTTCAAGTGTTTAAACTTATGTTAAAAATGTTTAGATGTTATTTAAAAATATGTGCATAGATTTTCAGAATTCTTCTAGGGGCTATGCAAATAAAATTCCTCTTGGATCACTACCTTATCCCATTCCTTAATCAGAGCTCATTAAAGCTAGCCTGCTCCAGTGTCGCCAAGGAGCAGTGTTGAGCTGAAGTATTGTTTGGAGACCCTACCAGAGCCATGGGAACCATGAATAGTTCTCAGAAGCACCTTCGTATTAGGTACAGTTTGGGGGGAGGGGCAAGGAAGGGGGTCAGCAGGTGAGAGGGGTAGAAATTGAGGGTATCAATTAACCCGTGAGAGATGACTACTTCTCACATTGGCCTTGCTTACTGTGTGTTAAAAAACAAGGTTCTCAAGAAACAATATACTTCTCATAACCTTTGTATGACATGATACCACAGTAGAGCCAATCTGACTCTGCGGAAACTGCCATACAGTTTCTATTTTAGCACATGATGACTGGACATGCCTGTTTTAAATATTTAATCACCACAAATATACTTTTATCTACTAGAATTCAGGCCATAAGTTCAAACTTGATTCCGTTTGTTTCATATTTAGATTCGGTTTGTGTAGGGCCTTCAGCCAGTTATTCAGACTTTTTACTTTCTGTGACTTCTGATTGAAATATAATAATTATCTTTAATCAAGAGTTCCTGTGAGAAAGTATGTCTAGACTACATTCATAAAAAACATTCATGCAAAGTGTTATTCTTCTAATGATTAGAGAGATTTAGAGTCTTTAGAGCTTATGCATTGTACAGTTGTTGAAACCATAGCCTGCGCAGTCCTTAGTAATGGCATGAAAAAATTAGGCTACTGTAATTTACCTATCTGACTTTTCATTTTTTTCCATGTTTAAAACAAACTCTGAACTTTATTACTTAGTGCCTTGGACAGTTTTAATGATTCTAAGCTCATTAGAGCAATTTTAGAGGAGGCTTTAGCTTCTAAAACTTTAATGAGAAGGCCCTTTTTCTAGCCAACTTGGATTGCAGAGTCAGGACATTATCCTGGTGGCCACAGTCTGATTCCATGTTCCACCGCATCGTTTTACCAGAACCTAAGTCAGGGGTCTCAGGCTACATGTATCCGGGAGCCAATGGTTCTGTGGCAGTGTCCATTCCGGTAATATCCATATCTCTCACTGAGTATTAGAGTCATCCCAATAGTGTCAGAGCTCATGGTGAAAAACTGAAACACAGGTTTTTGCTATCAGTAATCTTACACTGTTCTTCCCGGAAGAACTTCTTTTCCTAGCATTGAAAAACTGTAAGAGAACTAAAGTGTTTCAAAAATTCAAGTTAGTAAATAGAAATGGAACCCTGTCTTGGTGTGGTAGGCAGACTAATGAGCCCTCACAGATGTCTACATCTTAATCCTTAGAACCTGTGAGGGTGTTAGGTTACACGGCAAAGGAAATTAAGGTTGCTTGTCAGCTGACCTTAAAATAGGGAGGCTATCCCAAATTATCCATGTGGCCCGATGTAATCACAGAGGTTCCTAAAATGGAAGGAAGCAGAAGGGAAGAGTCCATTGGAAGAAGATGTGACTGTGGAAGAAAAGTCACAGAGAGACACAACATTGCTGGGTTGGAAGGTAGAGGAAGGAGCCAAGAGCCAAGGAATGTAGGAGGTGTGTAGAAGCCAGAAAGAACAGAAAATAAGTTCTTCTCTAGAGCCTTGAGAAGAAACCAAGTCCTGCTGACACCTCGATTTTAGCCCAGTGAGACCCATTTTGGACTTCTGACCTCCAGAACTATAAAATAATAAATTTGTGCTGTTTAAGACACTGAATTTCTGGTAATTTGTTATAGCAGCAATAGAAAACTAGTACAGTTGGTTTTAAATCCTCTGACCCAGAAAAAAACTTAAATGTTGTACTTATGCAGTGACTCAGCTAGTTCTTTATGTGTTTTAGATAACTGGTTAATTTTAGCTTTAGCTTTAACCAAAATAAAGGTTTTTGCCTACTGCATCCATGACACTATGCAGAGGAGACAACAATGGGCACTATGAGAATCTATAAAAACTGAACAACATAGGAAAAACTAGGTCTTTTCTTTACTGTGAAGTATTTTAGAATCTATCGTTATGCAATAGGCCATGTCAGGAGAAGGAATACTCTCTTAACTAGAAATAAGCTAGAAAGACAGAAAATCTAAATGAACTAATGTTTAATATCTCCTTAGCCAGTATCACAGCTGATGAATTTTCTTGAAATGATGCAGATTCATTCACTTATTTGCTGATTAAAGGTTAATTCCCTAAGTTATACAGTAATTGCTCCCAAAGATAGTAAAAATGAAGAATAGGAATAAAACCAGAATAAATAAATTAAAAGAAAAAGGCATTTGTATGTTGAGACCTCAAAGTAGTGCTGGAGTGTAATAGGTGTTTAGTAAACATTTGAATAAATGGAAACTTTCCAGATACTCAATGAGTTTTCTTGTCCTATTCCCTCCTAAAATATTCAGAATAATAGGGATTTTTGAAACATACCAACCAAAATTTTCTTTAGATGTGTATGGTACAATATCTAACACATGAGTCAGAATCAACTTCTTTGAAAAACATGAGCTGGACAGTTGTTATGTAAAAAATTAAATTAATACTGATACTGAATTTAAGACCTTTTGATTTTTAAAGACTGATACAGAAATAGGCTATCCCATTTGCTCTGATTTGGAGTGTTCACCATTGTGAGGGTTCTAGTGTCTTAGGGCTCCGTCCTATTCATTGTTTGTCTTGTACTGACTTTTCCTTCATGTGTGGGCAGAGCACTGTTTAGACCCCGCGTCCTCCAAGTGTGGTCTGAGGGCCAATAGGAGTGACCTTATCTGGGAGCCTATTAGAACTGTGGAAACTCGGGCTCCACTCCAGACCTTCCGAACAGAATCCACACTTTTAGTAAGATTATTACATGACTGCTTGCCATGTTCTGGTTTGGTAAATGCTGGCCTAGGCCACACTGGTTTTGTTTTGTAACTTAACATGGAATAGCCTATAGGATGCAGCCTCAGTATTAATTCTGCCCTCTATATTTAAAGCATATTTAAACATATTTTGAAACATATTTAAGGTGACTTTTACTGTGGCATAATTAAAAATATGTTGTAAAAAATTACAACTTTAAAATAAAAGAGAGTTATATGTATTAGGCACCAGGGAGAGGTTATTTATTGCAATTGAAAAAGAAATTTAGCTCATCTTCAGGGCAACCAAGGCAAAAAAAGAATACATACTTGACTGCATTGTCTTTAGCATTGGAATAAAGGAAGCGTAGCAATTTGTCAGGAAAAATAGAGTGGTTCTTTCCAGGCACTGACTTTTCAAGGTTATTTATCTCTCAGACTGTCATATAAAGGACATTGGGT